GATGGATGGATGGATGGATGGATGATGGATGGATGGATGGATGATAGATGGATGGATGATAGATGGATGGATGGATGGATGGATGGATGGATGGATGGATGGATGGATGGAAGGATGGATGGATGGATGGATGGATGATAGATGGATGGATGGATGGATGGATGGATGGATGATAGATGGATGGATGGATAGATAGATAGATAGATAGATAGATAGATAGATAGATAGATAGATAGATAGATAGATAGATAGATAGATAGATACTTCCAAGAGAAATTCATTTTCCTTTTTCCTGTTTTGTTCCTGTGTGTTCAGTAGCTCCCTAAACAGGAAGCAGTCTCGACGGCGCGACGACAAGCTGCTCCCTCCCCTCCTGTCCCCCCTCTCCGATGATCCCCCTCGAAAACGAAGCTGCGACGGCGGATCCTCCCTCGGCCAGGAGGGCGGCACCGCCGGGATGCTGCCCTGCTCCGCCTCCTCCGCCTCCACCTCCTCGTCCTCGTCGCACAGACACAGGAGAGGTGAAGGGAAGGCGTCGTCGCACGTCAGGAACGGCAGCGTAAGTGATGGTTGCAGGTCAACGCTGACACAAGAACACTTCCTGTTGTTGTGTGATGCTCTCAGGATAAACACCTGCTTGTTTCCACTTGTCCACAGTAGAATATGACACTGATCTAATAAGTAAAATACACCTAGAAAGGATCATTCATGTGTGATGGAGGAGGCTCTTTCAACTCCAGACCTTGACAGGCCGACCGGTCCTGTTATTCAAAGCGAACGAGCAGCTCAGCAGTAAAGTTTGAAAGGCTCACACGTTTCGATACTAATTAGAACCGTGGATTTCAATGCCCTCTGTACCACAGGAAATAGATTCCCACGGCGAGAAGCCCTGCGGAGACGGTTACCATGCCAACGGCCATTCAGACTCGGAGGCGTGGTCGGAACCGCTAATGGATCCTGCAGAACCTCGCCGGCCGAGACTGTCCTTCAGCGACACGTATGTAAAGGATCAGCATGCTACATGATTCAGAAGTCATTATCACATAAGTGCTGTGGTGGACGTTTACCGGGAACGGCTCCCGGTTCTTCTCCCGTGGACGTGTGTTCACCAGGAAAAGGCTTTTATTGTAATCGTCTGTAGGTAACCGTTAGAAGGCAGCAGGTGTTCGGTCTTTACATTCCATTTCCATTGGGTTTT